TTGTAACATTACTGGGAAACCAGTAACGTTTTTCGTGGTATGAGATTTGGGAAATACGCATCATTTCGTCGTCCCTTTGCCTCATCTCTGGCTAAGAAATATGGTCCTCTTATGCAAATACAGCTCGGCCAAATTTTCCACCATTGTTGTCTCTTCACCTGAAGATGCTTATGAAGTACTGAAAACTCATGATCTTTGCTTTGCTCATAGACCTTTGGCCTAATTGAACGTGAATAAAATAATTTGTATTATATATCATGAAATCCAAAGAAACAAAAATAATTTAATTTTATAAATTAATAATTTGATTTGTTATAATAAAAATAATATAAAATATATTAATAGTTAAGGTTTTAAGGGGTATGATTGGAATTTAAAATTTAAATAGGAATATTTGTGGAGACCAAAATGTATTTAACTTGGTTTTGTCTACACAAAACAATGGCATGGGTGTTATTCAATGAGAATCCGAAGTCATTTTGTTTTGTCAAAAGTTGTCCAGATAACTATTAACAAGAGCCTGGGCTTCCAACATACACATCCGACGTTTTATCCAACAACACAATGGCGGTGCTACTACGTTGTTCATGCTTCTTTACACGGCCAACCGCCCTCCCATCTCCACCGTCTGATCATTTCTCCGACAAACCCATGTGCCCGTTTAGTTATTCTTTTACACCAGAAATTTTGCAGCTTTTCGTTCATGCTAGAAGCTTTAGTAGTTCAAGCTATGTTTGTTAACTTAAACTGGTTGTAATGTGTGTGTTGATCTGAATGTTGTTAGTTTGGGTGAATTCTTGCATATTCTTTCTGGGTTTTTTGTGTTTAGTGAATGCGAATGGAAAATGAAGTTGATTTGGGATTGCTACTGTAGAAAGCTCAATTGGGTTAGTTTTATTTGTTGTTTTGTTTTGTTTGTTCGTCGTGAGATTGGATAAAAGATAGGGAGGTTAAAGACAAGTTTTTTGAGGCTGGGGTTGAGTGTATTGTTGTTGCTTTAGTTCAATTATCTATTTATACTATAAAAATGTGTTCTTTTATGTCCAATTATCAAAGGACATGGCAGATTTTGGAATTTTTATATGGCTTTTGTGATAAATTTGAGGTTTTTTCAAATGAAAATTTGGATTTCTTAATATAATGATATGTTGGAATATATTTCAGTGCTTTGCTTCCATTTTCTAATGATATGTCAAGTAGCACACACAAATCATACTTTTGCCGTGTGATTTGTGATCCTAGTATGCATTTGTTGTCTTGGAAAAATGTGAAATGCTGAAAGTGTTCAAGGAAAAAGGTTAAGTGAGTATAATCTGCATAAGATGATTGAGTTGTTGGTCATAGAGGAGGATTACTTCGTGATGGATTCATATGATATGCGAAGTGTCCTTGGAAAACAGAATTTGTTCTGTAGTATATAGCATTCTGCTAGCATAATGCCAATGCATTTCAAGTCCTTATATTGGTTTTACATCCTTATACAATATCTGAGGTTAATTCTTTGTATTGAATCAGGGAAGTTGGTTTCTGTTCTATTCAAAAAGAAAAAGACGGCATCATTTTTAGGAAATGCTTCCAGAGTTATTCATCAAAGATCTGATGGACTCCATGATTTGGAAGGAAATCAGGATTTCAGTAAAATGCCACCACCTCATGAAATTTTTTTGGACAAATTATCAGCAGATCAGGTACGATGGTGAGTTCCTCAGTGTTTGCAACTAAATGCTGTTTTTTTTCTGCCTCTTATCTTTTTGTTTGTTTATGTCAAAACTGGTGTTAAAAGAACTCCCTTTGATGAAACGTAAGGAATCACAATCTCCCTGATTTCAAATCTTAAAATCTGCTGTGAGGGGCACCTTTATGTCTTCCTTTTTTGCTTAGTTCTAAAATGAGCATATATTGCTAAACTTTTGCTGGAAAACCGAATAAAAAACCTGTACACAATGCTGCTTTCTAAGGCTTTGATACTCGTTATTATTAGAATGTAGTAGTTGTTCATATAACAATTTTGTTTCTAAAGTCCATATCATTTTTATCAAAGCACAAATCTATTATAATTAGTTCTCGGTCTCTGCCTTGTATTAAATTCGAGCCACATCTGCATGGCTAATAGGAGGATCAGAGGTTTCTGTTTTGACTGTGATTGTATTTATAAGTTATTTTACTTCAGTTTCTGATCTGATTAATATAATTATTGTCTCAGCAAAGAAAGTTGCTACTGAAATCAATGGCAACGGCAATGATTGTGTTTATAAGGAAGTGCTCTGACAGTTGATGACGGGACGATCAAGCTTCTACAAGCTGTTTATCTGGCAGAGGTCGTCATAGACACTTTATAGATTTTCTGAAACAGAAAGTTTTTTTTTTTAAGTTTCCTTCTTTCTTAAGGTCAACCAACTTGCAATTTCGTTTCAGCAACGAGATAAAAAAAATGTTTGGATCAGTTGACCAACTTGGTGCCCATTGAGGTGTGAAAAAGAACTTATGATGAACATTTTCGAATGGTTCTATGGTATTACTGAAAAACGTTAGGAAGTTTTGGATGATGTAAAGCAACAGTACTTGCAAACAGCTTTTCATCAGATAAATAATGAAGAAGATATTGTTGGTTTTGATTCTCAAATTTCGGAATCAAGAAGATTAATTTTGACTAGCGAGAAGCTTCTAATATCGGTGGTGGGTGTGGGAGGCTCTGGCAAGATAACTCTAGCGAAAAGAGTTTACAACCATTTAGAGATAAGGAAAATTTTCCACAACCATGCTTGGGTTTGTGTTTCACCGGATTTTAAAGAGAAAAATCTTTTAGTTCAAATATTGAAGCAGGTGACTGAGGCTAGAGATGAAGAGATATTGCAACAGAAGCTTCGTAATTTATTAAACACGCAGTGGTACTTAACTGTCTTGGATGATGTCCATGGACCTGCTATACGGGAGAAACTCCAAGTGGTCTTTCCAAACTCATCAAATGGTAGCAGGGTCATCCTAACTATCCGTGACCCTGATATAGCAACTCATATTGATCCAGAAACTCCAAGTGGTCTTTCCAAACTCATCAAATGGTAGTAGGGTCATCCTTACTATCCGTGACCCTCATATAGCAACTCATATTGATCCAGCCATTCCTCTTCTCCGAGTAAATCACTGAGTACAAAAGTTGGAGTTCGTTTTTGAAAAAGGCCAAAAGAGAACCAGGAGACGAAGTGTTTTCTTGCGAACAGATTCGGGAGAAAATCTCGCGAAAATGTGGGGGTCTACCTATTTGAGTAAGTGTTCTGGCTGGCTTTTTGTCTAATATAGAATTTAGCACAGCTGCATGGTTAGGGGTGATTGAGGATCCAAAGGGAAAGAAAAAAGGCGAAGAAAGGGCGGTTAATACTAGCAAGCAAAGAAAACAACAGAAAGCTAGAATAAGTGATCATTTTCAGTAAGAAGCTAATGTAGCAGGGGAAGAAAATCACTCAGCTTTCTTAGAGGAGCCCAGTCCAAATATTTTGGCTTTGGGCTATCATGGCCTACCTTATCCTCTGAGTCCATGCCTCATTAGGCAAATAACCTTTAGATGTGAAGCACTCTTTATTAACCACTTTGCCTAATTCTATCTGGAAGGCAAAGAACCTTCGACATCTCTATACGAACAACATTTTTCTTAAAGTTGTGATAACTGACAATGGGTATCCAATCAACCTTCAGACCTTACGGGGCGTAGTAGTAGGCGATACTAGGCATACAGTTAACTGGTTGAAAAGGTTGAGGTGTATAAGGAAATTGGGATTGACATGCCACACAAACTCAATTCCAGAAATAGCTGATTGGATTTAACAACAGAACAGTCTTCAGTCTTTGCAGTTGAAATCAATGGATGACAATAATAAACCTTCACACCTCCATTTCCATCCATGTTGAGTCACACAATGCTGTCAAACTTGTATTTGGTCGGAACGATCAATCGACTTGACATAGAAAAACTTAACCAAAATCTGAGAGTCCTTGCATTGTCAAGGTCTCATCTATCAGAAGACCTAATGCAGACACTAGAAGGGCTGGAACACCTTAAAGTGCTTAGGCTTTTCTCTAATTCCTACTCGGGGAAAAAGATGCATTATCGTATTGGTAGCCGTACATTTCCCCAACTCCAGGTATTGAAGTTATGGATGCTAACATAGTTGATAGAATGGACTATCAACAAAGGAGCCATGCCTGCCTTACGAGATTTAGAGATTAGATTAATATAATAATTTGAGTAAATTAAACTTGTTAGAAAGAGGATTAGTTACTTTTTAAATGAAATAACAATTAACAATTGATTTTGTATAATGCATCACCAGATTAGATGTATAGTCAATTCAATTTAAACACATGATTTCAACGCCAAAAACAACATCACATCTTAGATTTCATAATTTTATAGCCCATTAGTTATACGAATATATAATTCATTAATAAAAAATAAGATGAAATCTCTAAATTTTGTTGTCATCTAAGGTATTGCTCGGTAGGCTTTCTTCAAGCACTAACATTATTCATTAATAAATGCATTATTTGAAATTACAAAACATTTGGCACCCTGAAGAGAACGTCAAAACATGCAATTTTGCATGATATTTACATATAATCTGACTAACTATTTCATGATCAAATCACTTATAGAGATGATCTACAACAAAATAGTAACAGGATGTTGTTCACAACTCAACAATATAAAACCATCTACGACGCCAATAAGGGTTTATCAACCAAACTGCAACAATCTTTAAGAGCATAATTATGGAGGACGCAACAAAACTGATATAGGAGATATTCATATCAATGAAATATTGTCTTCTCTAGTAATACTTGAATCTTTTGGTCGTGATTCAATTGCATTGCAATTTTTGGGCAATGGTTGTCCACAAAAAAATGGATTTCCCTCATAATTACTTTCTTCAAAGGTTCCAAATTGTACAATCCTATCAGGGAGTTTACCTGATAAATTATTGTGTGCCACACTAAAAACAGCCAAATTATAACTCAACAAGTTGGGAATGGATTTTCCTATTCAAATTGTTGTATGAAAGATCTAAACTCTCGATCTGCTTGAGATTTGAAAATGTCAATGGGATTGGTCTTGTCAAGTTGTTGTGAGAGAGGTTAAGTGAATGGATTCCGACAAGATTTCCAATTTGATAAGGAATCACACCAACTAACTTATTGTTGGAGAGATCAATTCCATACATGTAGGCAAGAAGTCTTCCTCGGTAAGAGTAAGATATAGTCTTCGTTGTAAACTCTACACTTTCTTCCTCTCTAAGAGGTATAATTCGAACCAAATGAGAATCAAATACAAAATCAAAAGCAGTAGTAACTATTGTGATATTTAAACAAGGAGGGATATGTCCAAAAAGCTTGTTGTGAGAAAGATCTATCAAGCGTAATTGACTTAACTTACGTAAACGAATTGACATTTCACCTTGAAAATCGTTATTACTCAAGATAAGGCAAGTTAAATTAGAAAGCATATCAATCCAATCAGGAATGTTGCTTTCAAAGTGATTATATCCAATATCTAGTGTCGTTAGAGAAGAAATATTGGATAATCCATCACTTAGTTGTCCCTGTAACTTATTTTTTGACAAATGAACTTGTTTAATTGATGAAGGGGGAAAGCAAGATGGTAAACTCCCAATAATATTGTTCTCTGAAAAGTCTAATACTTCAAGACTTTCTAGTTGACAAAACCCTAATGGGATTGGACCTTCAAGATGACTCTTTGACATTATAATATCTATCAAACATGACTTATTTCCTAACCACCTTGGTAATGTGCCAACAAGATGGTCATCGCTTATATACAACCCTTCCAAGGAGTAATTAGACAAACTATCTGGCATCTTTCTAAGGAAATGATTGCCATCCAATTGTAAATATAAAAAGTTTTTCAAGTTAAAATTTGTAAGGAATATCTGACCTTGCAAACTATTGTTTGACAATACAAGGAATTGTAATAAGGTGCAATCCGTGGCCAAATACTCAGGTATTCCTCTAGTCAACAAATTATTAGACAAATCCAAAAACACCAACGACTTCATGTCACCAAACAAAGAGGGAATGCTACCATTTAAAGCATTTCTAGAAATGTTTAAAGTTTGTAGCATTGGTAGATAAGCTCCAAATTCCGTTGGAATATGCCCATGGAAGGAATTGATGGATATATCTAATTCTTTCAAAGACATGTGAGGCTGAATTGGCAAAGGCCCTGAAAGAGACTTATTAACTAGAAAAAGTCTTTCTAGCTTGGTATTGTTCTTTAACAACCAAACTGGAAACTTTCCCTTCAAATTAATTTTAGAGAGATCAACTTCTTGTAAGTCATATTGACTATAGAGGAATTTGGGGAATGAAACACTATATCCATAACTGGGTAATATGAGGAAATTTAATTGAAATTTTGGGGCCAAATATTATGACTCAATTCCTGCATATATTTCATTATCTACCATAGAAGTTCTTAAGCTTTGAGTGGTTAAAAAATGGTTCAAGGGAAACAAGGATATGGAAATGATTGTCTGAAAGCCTTAATTCTTGGACGGATGTCAGCATCTTAAGAGGAGATAAGGAGATATTTCCCATAAAATCATTGTATGAGATATCTAATACTTGAAGGGATGTCAAGTTTGCAAGACACCAAGGCAAGGTACCCATTAAACCATTGGCCCAGATCTCTAAGTGTTGAAGATGAAGCATCTTACAAATTCCTGAAATTAAAAAATGTTCCTTAATAGTTACTATATGAAGCACAAGAGTAATTATAGTCATATGCAAATGTTACTTAATCAATATGCTTAATAATTATTACAGTGCACAAATTTAATAAATATACTAGCCATGTGCGCTATTTCTTTTTTAAACGAATTATATATAAATTATAAATTTTACTTGTAAGAAGAGGGAAAAATTACTAACCTTGGTCAAATAGAGTGTTGTTGACGTTGAGGTTACTTCTTATAATTTTAGTATATTGAAGAAAAGTTATACCCGTAATCATTTGAAGAAAGTTGTTGTGAAAAACAGTACTGTAAATAAATAAATTTGTCAGATTCTTGAATGAAAGCAACTCTACAAAACCACAAAAGTAAATAAAATATTGTTCAGTAATCTACACCAATTATTATAATATTCTAAATTGAAATGAACATTCAATATGGTATAGGGACTAAACTAGAAAAAAAATTCATCAAGGTTAAATAAAATCTTAAATGCAAATATATATGTACATTTCAAGGTTTTTAAAAGGCTTTTGATAATTTCATGTGAGTATTTAAAAATTGTCAGAGATTTTTGAGACATCTGAGACTTTATGGTCTTTTAAGTTGATCATAAATACTAATCTTTCTTAATTAGTTTGATTTTGTTGCTTTGAACAAAAGAGTAATGTTGGCTGCAATTTCTTAAAGAGGAGTCCATACATTTTATCTAGTCTCAAAAGCAAACAACCTTTTTAGACTTTCTATGGGACCACTTTAATTCTCAAAAAGGATATTTCAACTAAAATTTAGCCATGAAATTTGGGAACTAATTTCAATAAAATATTTTACTACATTTATATCCTTAATTAAAATAGGATATGGGCTTAACCTTAAAAAATAATAATAATAAAAAATAAATAAATAAAAAGTAAGATGGGCTAAAGAGCATATCTTTATTATGTAATGCAGCATGGCCAGTAGCGGCTTGAAAAGCCCATGATTCAGGAAAATTGATGGGGGCTACAAGCACCTTGGAAAATTAGATGAGGGCCTCCTTAGAAAGTAAAATAGTTCTTTCTCTTATTTTTTCTATTTGCATTATATAAGATATTTTTCCTCATATTTTGTATGCATCGAATAATATATATATATACACCTGGGGGGGTGGGGGGGTGGGTTGCTCTTGTTACTTTTTTTATTAATAGGTTTGGCACTTTAGTGCAGTAATCATGTTTATTTCTATACATGACATTATTAATTATAAATTATAAATTTTGCTTGTAAGGAGAGGGAATAGTTACTAACCTTGGTCAAATAGAGTGTTGTTGACGCTGATGTCACTACTAAAAATTTCAATAGATTGAAGAGAAGTCATACCCCCCATCATTTGAAGAAAGTTGTTGTTAAAAACGGTGTCGTCAATAATTAAATCTATCAGATTCTTAAACGAAGGCAACTCTACAAAAACACAAAAGTAGATAAAATATTGTTCAATAATCTACATCAATTATTTAATATTCTAAATTGAAAAGAATATTTAATATGGTATAGGGGCTAAACTAGAAAAAAGATTCAGCACGGTCAAATAAAATCTTAAATACAAAAATAAAAAAAGATAAAATTACATTCATAAAGAAAGAAGAGAAATAAAGTTGTGTTCAGTTTAATAAGTGTGAAAACAGTAAAATTTAGGTTTAAAGAGAAAAAGGTTAGACTAAAAAACAACTTTAATTAATATATTCTTAGTGTTTCGAAAAATAAATGATCTATAAATCTATAAATCAATTTTCAATTCATATAGCTAATCAATTCTCATCGAATCCTTTAATAAAAAGCAAAATTCAATTTTTTTTTTCATTTTATTTTGTGGAAATTGTAAATACTATGGAATGAATCCTAAAAATTGTCTTTTGTCAATGAATGCATTAGACTAGAGTTTTAATTCCACTTTTCAGTTTTCTTGAACATTATTTACAAATTACGCAAACTCTCAGGTGACGTAAATGCTCCAATGCTTTGAAGAAAGTTTATCTGGAAAGTAGAATAATAAAAGCTAAAGTCTACTTTTCTGTTGAAACAGCAGAACAAATTTTAGGAAAGTTATTGTGTAATTATGATAATAATTTAAAGGTAGAAAAAATTAATGTACTTACTTTCAATATTATTGTAATTTACCATTAGTAGTAACTGCTCCACTAAAGTTGTTATTGCAGAATTCAATAACCTTTAGGGATGGAAATAAGCTCAATGTATGTACAAGACTGTTTCCATCACTAATACTCACATTTCTTAGACTAAACCAAATCAACTTCCTCAAACTTGTTTCACTTGTGTGTTTGCGAAAATATTCAAACACTAATATTTTCAATGCTTTCTCATATTGAAAAAAAAAAAAAAAACAATTCTTTAAATTTATTTGATTTAATAATTAGAATAAAAATACCTAGTACGTGTGTGCTATGTGTGTCTCATAAAGCAAAGCAATATTGGTAAAGGATGAGAAATGTAAGTTTAAATATTATTAACCTTAATAAATACCTTTGGAGAATACAATTTTTTTAATCTCATTTCTGCCATGTACAACTCCTCTAAGTTGCTCAAAGAATCCAATTCTAGCAAGAGTTAAAACAGAGGGATTAAAACTAATCAAAAAGTATTTAAGAAGACTTTTAATTTCGTTGAAGGAAATGACAAAGTCCTTTAATGATGAAAGACCAAGTAGAGATATGATAAAATGCTATTAAAACATTTTTATCATCAAAACTTAATTAATAGGTTTCCCTAAGCCAACATTAATTACTTGTAGATATCCATAGGCTTCAATATTGTCTTTCTAAATGAATATAAGTTTTATCCCTTCTGACAAATCTCATTTCTGTTCATCTACTCTACCTTCTTTGTGTTGGTCAAAGAGTTTAATTATAGAGTCAGCTAAAACCATGAGAAAATGAAGAAGATGTTTGGACAGACAAAACTAATGTTTCAGAAAGAATCTTATTCAAAGCTTTAATTTACTTGAATGCAATATCTCCAACTCTAGTTTGACAAAGCAAAGAGAGAGAGCATTCAGAACATAATAAATTGTTATACATGAGAGAAATTAAAGATGAGAAGCAAACTTACCTTGAAGATCAATGGTGCCTTACACTTCGATGTCATACATATATAGTTTCTTTAGTGATGAGAGAGTAGACACATATGATAATATGCTCTTGTTGAACATGTTACCGCTTCAGCTCAGAAACTTTAAGTTACTCAACCTTGAAACTGAAATCAACACATATAATAATAGTAATAATAATAACCATACATAGTTTTGTGAACCAATCTAAATATAAAAGTGATAATAAAAGTTGTCATTTAAAAGAACATTACCATTAAAATGGTTTAGTTCTCTAAACTGATTATAATCTAGAATTAAATTCTTGAAGATGAATGTTGGCTCAAAGCTAATAAAACGTGGCTGTCATTGAACATACTGTAACTAAGGTCGAGATCCATGAGATTATTCAAGTGTGAAAATTTTTCAAAACCTACAAAGCAATTCTTGTTAACAAAGGCATGGAAGTAAATTTTCATTATTTAAAGTAAGGATGGAAAAACTTTCATTCTCAACAAAACCGGCTATAAGATTGTAACTTAATTCAAGCCTTTCCAAATCTTGGAAGGGAGAAAACAAAAAAAACATTTAGATACCACTCTCCTAATTCCTGATTTCTTGTATTGAAAAGAAAAAGTGAGGATACTCTGCTAGTTGCGCTACTACATTCAATCTTTTCCCAGTCACAAACAATTTGAATTTCCATGTCCGCTCAATCCAATTTTGAAGATGGTTAGGATCATTGAAGAGATGTTTAAGTTGCAAGAGAGCAGATCTCTCTTGCTTCAAACACCCCCTAATCCTCCATCCTTGTAAAGAAATAAACATCAAAATCAACAACAGCCACATCCTCACACATTTTAAACTCATCTCTTAATAAAACACTAATTGCACTGCTTTTGTGATTGCCAAGAGATTAGCTTTGTGCTATTTATAATATTATTAGATCTCAATATTATAATACTATTAGATCTCAATATTGTATCGACTAAAAAAATAAAAGTATTGTCTTTTCAACCAACAACTTCATTTGTTGTAGGGCATAGAAGAGGTCAATAAGGACAAAATTAATGTTGGACCCCACTATTGTGGAAGGAAAATTCCCAATGAATGCAACTAGCTTGAAAAAGTCAAATTACGCAGTTTCATGAAAGCAAATTAAATGATTTGAGACTGCTCAACCATAACTAATTTTATTAAGTATCGTTAGATTGTTAAAAAAATTATATAAAACATTTTATTTTTATATTGTCATATAGAGTGTTGTTCGCGTGTGTCCCACAATTTCAATTAACAAAATCAATTTCTATATATATATATAATAATTTTTAATTTATATACATCCATATAATATATATGAAAAGGTTTAATTAGTACAACATTAATTTTGATAAGCAAATTTTGATCTTTAAAAGCTACTCTAACTACTTTTAATCTTGTGGTATTGGCTCCCACAATTTTCAATTTCTAAATGGCTTTCTATTCTTGTAGGACCAACTTGTGGAAAAAAGGTTCAACTTATGGAATCCAGTTGTCACAACTCATAAACATTTATTTCATGAAGACTGACTCAAATATCATGACTCTTGAAATACTGCAATTTCCATACTTTAGTTTTCTAATAGGGCAAGAAGTCTACACAAAATTATTAAATGTAGGCCCAAGCCGTGGAAGAAATGTTGGAAAAACCAATTATCACCACTCAAAGACATCAATTTCATGAAAGCAAATCCAACACAAGAATAGACTTTGACATAATCATTTTATCTTATTTTATTTATTAAATCTATGTAATTCAATATAATTATTACTCATATATATACGAATATGATGAATAATATGTAGGACCAAGTTGTGGAAAAAAAGTTCAAGTTGTGGAATATCAATTGTCACAGCTTGAAAACATCTATTTCATGAAATAGACTAATATTATTATATAATTAAAATACTATGGCGGAGATTCAACAAGCATAATTAAAATACTATGACATAATTAAAAGGGGGAACGACTTACACATACCCAAAGTTTGATGTAAAGACAAAGTAGTATCCAAAAGGTTTGGAAATGACAAACACCCACTTCCGTCATGTTCTGTTAGAAATTTTCATCTACTAAAAGATAAAAATGGTAAAAAGACTAAAATACCCACCGATCTCCATTTGCAACACGCGCCAGCAAAGGCCAGTGCCACTGTTTATCGCTGAACTTCACAGAAAAAATGTTAAATCCGATCAAAAAATCGGTCGATGACGCAAGAGGGATGTGCAAACGAGCTTGGGGTGAGAATAGAATTACTATATTGTCTTTTAGCATACAGAAATCCCTAACAGAATATGATAGAAAATATTTGTTTGTCATTTCCAAACCTTTTAGGTATCAATCTGTCTTTATACCAAACTTTAGGTAGGTGAAAGTCATTTGGCCTAATTAAAATGTTTGATAATGTCTGTCTCTATCCCTCACCTAACACAGCCACTATCTTCATGAGTCCCACCCCAAAATTCTCTATCCCTCACCTAACACAGCCACTATCTTCATGAGTCCCACCCCAAAATTAATCTGAAACCAAAAAGGGTGTTGGTCTTACTTTAAAAAAAAGGGTTGGGGACAAATTTGTACCATTTAATAAAAATAATATATTTTTTTATTGTAATATATATTAATTCAATTAAATTAAAAAGTTTTGCACTAAGGATGTTGGTTTTCTCTTTTATCTTTAAAAAGGAGTCTTGTTGTATTGTTTGAATTGGAGAAAAGAATTGTGAAAGAGAGGAAGACTTGGAAAAAGATTAATGAGTTTTAACTTATTTTATAATAAAGAAACCTTTTTAATTTTATATAACTGTAGACCAACTTGACTTAACTAATACGGCACGACTCGTGTGTCAAGTCCTACCGGCCCCAAGCCCATTTTATTTTCGTTTTCTTTCAATTAAATTTGACTGCATGTGGGGCTCCCATTTTAGTATAAAAAATCTAAATTGGAATAAAATAATAGTTTATTCTTATTTCTTTTTAATTTTTTTTCTATTTTAAATCAAAATTTTTAACATAAAATTACAAGAAAACCCGTGGTTGATATATTTGAGATAAACTCTTTAAGACGAACAAAATAAATGTTATTTTGAAATGGTTTTTTAGACAAATATACCGAACACGTTTTTATTTCTCACATTTTTAGATAGAATAATATTATATATATATAAAGTGATATGTCATACCATGATTGGAAAAGTAAATTTGACTTTAATTAATAAATTTAAATTAACTTTACAAATTTATTCTCCTGATCATGGTATGACACATCACTTTCACATATATTATTGTATAAAGACTTTGTAAGTATAGTATTATTCTTTCGAATATATTTTCAGACAAACATGACAATTGCGTTTTAATTTTTCACATTTTTCAACCATTTTCAATATTCTAAAAAGAATAGAAAACATAAACACAGCCTATGTTTTCTAACATTGGTTATAATAACCAATAGTTATATTAATATCAGAAGACATCGAAGCCGTTAAAAGTTACTTACGTCATTAATGGAATATGAACTTCATTTTAAGTCCGTCAGTGATAATAACTTCAACGATGTTGTTTTGATATTCAATACATGAATGAAGAAGCAAGTCTTTCCAGTTAAAAGAGTGAGCGCCTTTGTTCTGGTAAAATTAGCTAATGCTACTGCAGTCCTCGTCAGATCACCATGGGCGGAAGCGCAGAGTTACGATTTGAAACTCTTTTCAATAGGATTACAAATACACTATAGGGGCGTTTGGTTGAGGTAATGGAAGATTATTGAGATTATGTCATCTTATATTATTTGATTACCATGTTTGACTATCAAGTAATAAAAGATTCCGATAATCTTGTATTACTAATAGTTGTTACTGTTGATCATATTGGAGATAATCTTATTACCTCCATTTTCTTAGGTAGTGTAAGATTACCAAGGTAATCTTATTTTTGTTACAATTCTATCTCTTATTAATAAAAATTTTGGACAATAATGTCCCTGTTTTAAAATAAATTTACATTAATATACTATTTCAATTTTACCCTTGTTTAATTAAGTTTTTGGACAATAATGCCCTTATATTTAAAACAAATAACAGACCACCATCGCCACCCAGCCACCACCGCCAGCAGCAGGCCAACCAACACAGACCGTAGTTGAAAAGTCGCCAGAGTCCGTAAAAATGACCGAGATTCGCAGGGAGGCCCCGGGAGGCTTCGATATGGCCGTTTCCGACTATATTGATGGCCGAAAACAGCCATATTAGGTCGAAAATGGCCAGATCTATTATGGCCATTTCCGGCCAGATCTAGGTGAGATCTGGCTATTAACGACCATGGACCTAGCTGTTAATGGCCAGATCTCGCCCAGATCTCGTCGATAATGGCTAGATTTGGCTTGATAAGGCTGTTTTTAGCCATCAATATGGCCAAAAACGGCCATATAAGAGCCTTGTGGTCACGGTGAGCTACTCACGGCAAATTTAGGAGACTTCCAGCGGTGGCAGCATGGGGAGGGGGTGATTTTGTCATAAATTAAAGTTTTATATAAGTGGGGTGTTTTAGCTAAATCTGAAATATTGGGGGTTAAAAGAAATTATTCAAAAATTAATAGTAAAAAAAATATTATATTAATATTTAAAAAAGAGGGTAATTTAGTAATTTAAATAATATACCCACCAATTTATTCCCCCTAACCAAACATATTAATATAACATACCCACCAACTAACCGAACATATTTTCCTAAAGATTCCTAGTAATCTTCAAGGTAATATAAGATTCCAGTAATCTAACATTCACTAAATCAAACGCCTCCTATAAGATAACCCGACATATTCTAAAAGTCACAATACAACCCTTTAATTTTCTTTCACTTTTCTTTTACCTTGTACTTTTTGCATATTTTTCTTTTTACCTTGTCCATTTATTTTCTCTCTCTTCCTAACTTTATATATATATGTCACATAAAATTCAATTTTGATTTGTGGGTTTTATTAATTTCCTTTCCAAAAGATCAAATAGCTTGGATTTTTCAGATAATTAACTAAATTTCAATAGTACTTGAGTAATGTTTTAAGTTTGTTATATAATTGATAATTTTGTTTTTTTTTTTTTTTTAAAATACGAACTAATGTTTGATTTACTTATATTTGAGATATGAAGTTATTAGATTGAAGTAATAGAGAAAACCCCTAAAATACATGAAAAGTATGTTGTAATTTACTAATTTTATTATTTTCTCCGTTACCGTCAAATTAGAAGTTGAAGCTCTCAATATCTGACATGTTAATGCTATATATATATATTTTAAAAAGATATATAATTGAGAATCTAAAATATAAGTTATTTTAAGTTTTCTAAGTATGAACTAACAATTATATATTAATCATAAATTTGCTTTGATTTATTTGCATAAATTAATTATTATTAAGTTTAACGGTAAATTTCTTGACTAATTAAACATCAAGTATAATAAGTTATGTTAGAAGTTGTATTTGTCTCACATCGTTAAATTGGTGGACTATTATGGTATATATATGTGATTGGGCTAGCTCTCTCTTCCCTTGAATTGACTTTTGAGTTTGAGTTCTACCTGAGCTCATTTATCATATATATTGTCCCTCTCTAGCTTGTTTTTCCTTTTTGGGCTTGGATAGAAGCTTTTTCCATCCACCACCACCCATAGAATAAAAAAAAGAGCCCTCAATCTGGTAAGTTTCTCGTGTTGAGTCAAATTAAGTCGTAAGCTCTACTCTTGGTGGTGCCCTTCAGTCAATACCTTTAAGTTTCAGCCTTGTGACCATACTCTCCCCAAAACCCAAAGACTTTGATTTCTCATTAGGTGTCAGGGGAGTCCTAAAAGCAGCATCCATTGATCCCTAGTTGGCATGCTTTTTGGGCTTGTATAGAAGCTTTTTTGGGGCTTGGGTAGAAGCTTTTTGGGCTTGGGTTCTACCCAAGCTAGTTTATAAAGTTATGATGATGTAAGACAGATTTTTTCAAATTAATTTGTTTGTACATCAAATCTTAGTCCAAAAAAAAAAAAAAAAACCAAGAAATGCATAAATTATTAATATCCTATCTATACACCTTACAATGATTTAGTAGCACAATAACTATTTCAAAATCAGAGAAGGTCTCCCACGATTATGAGATATTTGATACTGTTCAGTCATGCCAAAATGAGCCATAAGAAGCCATATATGAGAAGGGAGCTCTCCCCCTCGTCTCAAGTGATGAGCATGTTAACTTCCTCTACCTTGACTTGCCACATAACTTGCCATTTCAACCCAAACATCTCTAACTATCTGATATTTTCATTAATTTTGATGCAAGCTTGTGGGCATAATAGAACATTGATTTGATTGCGTCGTCTTTCACTTCGATGCTGAGTTCAGTAAATCAGTCCACCCACGAATTCTGTTATTGTCACCATCACCATCATCTCCACTACTCTGTTCAGTTTGGTTTGATGGGTCGAAATGCTTAATGGAGATTTTTGTGTTTCGTGAAATATTCCCCAACCTTAGAAAGAGTATCCCGACGCTTGAGAACACCCCCCACTCCAACTAGCAACTGAACAAGGAGATACATCATATATTTTGACAACACCATGCTCATTTCAGCAACAGTACTGTTATTTTCAGTTTCGAAGACTCTTGAATATTTGTCCCGGTAATAACAAAGTTCTGTTGCAATGTGCCAGATGAGGATACTTTCATCAAAGTCCATCTTAACACTCTATTTAAGCATACTATGTTTTTCAAGTGCACGGCTTCCGCTTGTCATCCTAAGGTTTCCTCTATTCTCCTCAGATTGACTAATATCCTTCTTGACATGGTTGAAGATCAACTCTTGCAATTCTTCGGGATTCGTTTCGCTTCCTCTATGTTCGTTAACTCGATCATGTTCCCTGTTCACATGGTTGAAAATCAGCTCTTGCAATTCTTCGGTCACCTGTGTATAAGACGTTCCACAGCAGCCCTTTCCTAGTAGTTTATTCCTGTACTGTTGCATTTACAGTAGTAGTTTATCCACAAGCCGTTGTTTTTTCAGTAGTCTAACAATCAGACGGAGCCCCGCGATTTTACAGTCAGATTTTCTTTGATGCAAAGACTTGTAAAACTGTATTGCCCAATGGAATTTGACCACCGTGGTAGTGAAAGTGTTGGTTCCAAAAGATACATGGGTTGTAGGATGGTATTGCTCTTCTTCCGCCCAATGAACCAATGTCTAGATTGATCAGAGAAGAATAGAACAATAGCAGCATATATCTCAAGAACGATAGCTATACCCAGCAACAAGAAAGTTAACCACACATCAAACTTGGAATATTTCTGCTTGTCAAGAAAACAGAAAATCACCAACTCAAAGCTGGTGAGACAAGTAGTGATAACCCGGCGAATTAGGCCCCAACGAGTATGAATTACGATGGCCTTGGTGTATATAGGATTGTAAACGAGCTGAGCTGAGCTGAGCAGAACCGAGCTTTCAGCTTATCGAGCTCGACTCATATGCTATAGGATCGAGCTCGACTCATATGCTATAGGATCGAGCTCGAGTTTGAGCTTAAGCCTATCAACTCAAGGAAATTGTGCTCGAACTCAAGCTCGAGTTCGAGCTGGCTTGTGAGATCGATTTCGAGCCAGGCTCGTTAAGGCTAAGTCAACCTTGGTTTGACTTGTACCAATTTCAGCCCTGCAGGCTTTTTTTGCTCTTGAACCTGTTTAAATACACAATTTTGCATAAAAAAATAGCTATTGCATCTTCAATTATATTAACCATGATAGTTTTGTATGGAAAATTAAATTAAGTGAACTAAATTTCTTATTTTAGTTTACCTCACTTAATTAATGTTTGAGCTACAATAACAAAAACATGTGATTGTATCAAAATACACTTCTACTTTTAATCTAGTAGTAACTACTAAGTTTACATCAAAATACAATCCAGGACATCAAAATAACATATGTCCACTAATCAAAATATAGGTGGCTGTAATATGTAGATGGTTGTCTATGTCTTGTATCGAAACCACCATCAAAATTTGTTAGATACCCAGCCTTCGCCTGCAATTACAACACATAATTAACTAATGAGCACTTGCCTAAATTGATGTACACCTGCCTAGATTTCATTTAACCAATATCCACAACTCACAAACACAATTCAATTAAGAAAAATCAAGCAAATGACCTCTATTTCCCCATGCAAAAATGACCTCTGATAGAATTTAAGGTGGCCCTGACTCCTCACCTAAGAAGGTCTCGTTGAATAAGAGGATTACCCTCTCTTATAATCCAATAGCTAGGTTTGAGCATGCCTAGTCGGTGTGGAACTCCAACACTCGCCCTCACAGTCAAGCCCATATGTTGGGTCATGCCTGCTATTAGAGGTAGTTGCTGGCTATAACTCCTCACCCGCTGGTCAAGCACTCAGCTCAACTGAACTTGGGCTCTGATACCATGATAGAATTTGAGGTGGGTCTGACTCCTCACCCAATAAGGATTACCCCCTCTTATAAACGTGGAGGCTTGAGTGTGCGATGTGGGACTTCAACACTCCCCATCATGATAAAACCCATATGTTGGGTCATGCTTGTTATTGGAGGCAGTCGCTAGCTCTAACTCCTCACCTGCTGATCAAGCACTCAGCTCAACTGAACCTAGGCTCTGATACCATAATAGAATTTGAGGTGGGCTTGACTCCTCATCAAATAAGGTCTTGTTGAATTAAAGAATTACCCCTTCTTATAAACCAATAGGCTTGAGCGTGCCCAGTTGGTATGGGACTCCAAGACTTCCCCTCACGGTCAAGCCCATATGTTGGGTCATGCTTATTATTGGAGGTAGTTGTCGGCTCTAACTCCTCAGCTATTGGTCAAGTACTCAATTGAACTGAACCTAGGCTCTGAGACCATGATAGAATTTGAGGTGGGTCTGACTTCTCACCCAATAAGGCCTTATTAGGTGAGGAGTCAAGCCCATCTCAAATTTTGTCTGCCTCTACTACCCAATTATTTCTCCAACTATTTGCCCACGCTCAAATGGCCTCTACTGCCCAATTCCAACAACTTCCACAGCACAAACAGACAATATAGAACAAATTTCCATAGCATAAAGAACTACTCTAGAACCGAAAAATAACCCATAAACCATGTACATATGCATGCCTCCTGCCATAGCCAAACCATGTACTGAATATGAATCCCAAGAACTTATGGTATAGGAAACTTGATCTCCAATGGTTGCTGCTCTTCCTGAAATGACAAAGGAGGAGTAATTAAGGTTTAGTTAGAATAAAGATAATGTAATTATTGAATTTAATCAAAACAATATTCAATATCACCTACTTTGCACCCTTTCTTCACCCCACTCAAAGAGCGACACCAATCACATCCACATAAGAGCATCTCCACCATGTCAAGAGCCAACAATGATTGATACGTGTCAATAACCCTACTCCCATAGTTGAAAGTAGACTCAAAAGCAACCACAATGATAGGGATGGCTAATATGTCACTAGCCATGGTTGAAAAAATTGGGAACTTTGTTGAATTTGCCTTCCACCACTGTAAAGCATCAAACATAGCAGGATCCCCCACACATTTATGGTATCCCTTTCCCAAATAACAGTCTAACTCCGATTTACTTGGCTTAACCTTCTTGACCATGTCCAGAAAGCTACTAAAATCATCCCAATCCTTCGGTTTGGCTGCCACTGCGCTCGACCCCTCACTAATAGTCTCAAGTCCATCCCCTCCTCACGTAGAATTGCGAGCAGCAGTCAATGTTTTACTAGGATCAACATACTCCCTATATGCCTCATACAAGGCATCCCGATCAGTATCAGCATTAGAATTTGCCTATGCTTCCAGGTTAGGATACATCTTAGGGAACGACCACTGAATGACCCTCATCTTCAATCTAGGGTCTAATACAGTGGCCACGACCATTAGTAGATTACATTCCCCTAATATTTGTCAAACTTTTCTTTCATTTTCCAAACCATGGTCCTTATAAATTCATCTTCATCTTCACTCTTACTATCCAACATAATTTTGATTAGACAAACTTGTTTTAGAAACAAGTTTGATGTCAGATAGTCACTCCCTAATATGAGATTGGTCGCACCACTAAACACCTTCAAAATATTACAAAGTTTCTCTACTTTGTCTCAATCATCCTCATTGGGACAATAATGGTAACTCATATCCATCTCCTTCAATCTAGGAAAACATGTCTAAACTTAATTGTCATTGCCAACATATCATATGTTCAATTCCACCATGTTTTGCAATCAAGAATAAGCTTGCAAAACAACAATCGCAATTCTTTAACAATCTTTGAAAAAAACTTAAGCCCACTTTTTGAGGCATTGATATATAACACGTCGTCACAGATGTCATCAATAATGTGTCTAATTTGATAAAGGTCATATTGAACAATCAAGTTCAAGATGTGTGTACCACATTTTACATGAAGCAACTTGCCCCCACATATGAGCTTCCCCATAGCTAGGAAATTTTCCTTCAAGACTTTGATTGCAACATCATTGCTTGAAGCATTGTGCATTGAGATTGTGTGGACCTTAGTTTCAATTCCCCATTCCATCAAGCACTTGAAAATGGCATCAGAATTGGCGACACTAGTATGAGGAGGAGGCAAATGAACAAAGTTCAGGACCCTTCTATTCAACTTTCAATTATCATCAATCCAATGCCCAATCAACACCATGTATTCCATCCTCTAATTGCCTGAATATTCCATAAATCTGTGGTGAGACTGATCTTTCTAACACCCTTCAATACCATCTTCAACTTTTGCTTCTCATTTTCATACACTTTCACATAATCATTCTTGCAATTATTACCAAAATCAGACTCCATTCAGGAATCCCATACTTCATCATATTGTTCAATCCTTCTTCCTCCACAACAGTAAATGGATGCTCATGCATCAGCACCCAATGGGCAATAAGTTCCCTCATCTTAAGCATATCAAACTAGCCTCGTAGAGCAGGCAACATAAGAGATGTACCCTGAGAACTGGAAGGGGGAAAATTAATTTGTTGTTGCCTCAAGGAAGCTGATCTTTTCGTACACCTCTTCAAATATCTATTAAATTGGGTAGTGCTTCCAGTGGTAGTAATTTTCAGCTTGGTTTTATAGTGGATGCACTACGCCTTCTTTATACCACCACGGACAACCACCTCCCTAAATTCTATCCACACCGCTAATGTCTTGGCTCTCTTCTTCCTGTGAAGTGGATTTTCACTGTCCACTACATTTTTGGGGCTACTAACACTTTGTTCAGTATGGGTAGTGGCTGTGCTTCCATAAATATTACGATGATCAACAACTCTAATTGTAATTGTATCGTTGATGTCATCCAATGTCGGGGTGCTTGAGGAACTGCCTTCAGAGGCCATAACTATAGTTGAAAAATAAGAAGCCATCATTATAGAAACACACAAACTGCAGATTCTAGCAACACACACAATCCATAATCAATTAAACATCATTAAAAATACTTCTAATTGATAGACATTATTTAAAAGTCAACATATTGTCTGTCAAGCTCTAAGGTCCAAGAATCTAACATTTATTTAAAGGAATGAAGGTTTATTACTATTATGGGGATGGCGGTTGTTTTGGAATTTGCAAATGGGGCTTTACTGCTATGCTACAATACTAGTAAGTGTTGAAGTGTGGCGTGTGTGTATTAACTGACACATAGTGGCCTGTCCTCGCAAGTGCAAACTGACACACAGTGGCGTGATTCAGAATCGACCCTATAGGCCTACAACAATCAATTTTTCATAATGCGCAAAATGAAGATGCCAAACTTCACTTATTTCTTAGAACTACTTTTCATAATGTGCAAACTTGGCCCAAAATTCATCATCAATTTTTCAAATATTGTCGTTTTCAAGCAGAGAATTTATAAACCGTGTGTAATTAAACCCTAAACTATGTTAATGAACCTTAACGAATTCAGAGAAGCATTTATGAGTTT